TAGGCAGCATTCACCTAGGATGTTTTGCAAGGACAGGAAAAACTATGCAAGCACATGGCGAGCCTGCAGTCCACGGAAAGGGCCTCCAACTGGGTTTGAACCCAGGACCCTCTTGCTCTGAATTAACATTGTTAACCTCAAGCCATCATTACACTTCTTTTAGGTAGCATGGTGTCATGGTTAGAGCTGTTGCCTCATAGCAAGAAGGTTCCTGGTTTGAGTCCCAGCTCCACACAGAAAGACTCCCAGGGTTTTTCTGTGTGGGGTTTGCATCTTATCCTGTGTCTGCCTTCCTCTGAGTACTTCAGCTTTACCACATAGTCCAAAAACATGTATATTAGGTTAATTGGTAATTATAAATTGGCCATGGATGTGAGGTAGGCAAAGTGCCTAAAGTGAAGCTTCATAGAATGAAAAATGGTCCAATTTTGTCTTGCAGTCTACATTGTTTTTTCCTGGTGCTTAGATTTGGCGTTATACAGGCTGATATTAATGAACATACTCCTGCTTGCAGATCAAGGAAGCAACAGTAATGCAAAGAGCAAGAAAGCCCAACATGAACTCCCTCCTCCAAGACTCAGTGGAAACATTCAAGTTACATTCACCCCAAGAATCTTTCCAACACCTCTCAGAGAGTCCAGACTTCCAGAGGAGGAGGAGGTGGGTTCTTGAATGCTGTGAAAACCAATACCACCTCCAAAAAGAATTATGGAGAATGGAGTTTCAATAACCACTTTAAGAGAGTATTTGAACAACAATAACAATACAATGGACTGTGGCTCCAGTCTAAGAGTTAGGATTTTAATCACACTTAACATACATATGTACAGAGTGTAGCAAATAAATTATTGCATGATCATTTATATAATACAAAATGTGGTTGTTCATTCGGGTATTTGGATAACTGTACACTCCCTTGGTCCCCAAAGATAACATTAATCCACTGGGGGGGAAAAAACTGAAATAGAAAAAAAATAATATGGAGTATTTTTGCATCTTAGCTGTGCTGACTGTATAAAAGATGGATGCCATGGCTTCACTACTTCCCGCTGTGCACTTGTGAGGGCTACCATGTGGAATTTTTTTAAGCCAGAATCTGCCCAGTAGGACTGAGATGCTGCGTCACACTCCCATCCACTCACACGCTGGTGACTGCAAAAGTGCCCCCATGCACTTCACACATGGGGTCTTTTAATGCACTGCATTAAAGGTTTGTTGTTGGCTAGTTAGCCAACTCCGCCAACTCAAAACTCCAGACATCCAGAGGCCCCCAGAACACAAGAGACCAAGGAAGACCAACAGAGGGGCAGCCACGCCACTGTCCCAGAAAGAGCTGAGGAGAGTCCCAGATGAGGGCTCACTCAGCAGCCGCGGAGCAGAAGTCAGGGGGAGTTGCAGTGACGCGCCCGTGAGCTCCGCCGGCAGCCAGCCGTGCCTGAGTGACCGAGCCCCAGGCCGAGAGGCCGGGGGCACCCCACCTCCGAAGTGGTGGTCTGGATTTCCTGGGTTAAGGCCAGCTTGGTCCTAGTAGTATGAAGCTTGCTAAACAACAAAACAAACACTCCAGTTTACAATTCTTAATGTGTCTTTCTTTATAAGGTATATAGATGATTAATCCCTTTGACTTTTTGCCTTTAGCTTTCTCAGTAAAACACCTACAGCTTTCACTGACAGTACATCATTTGGTACCTTTAGCTTTTTTTGATCAGTTAATTTATGAGTTATGACAAATTTACTCCAAGATTAAATGAGCATATATAGTGTGATTTATCTGTTATCACTGGATGGTTCTGAGGTCTGAATCTGAGGGCAGATCATATTACCACAAAGAAAAAAGAATCATCACCAAATGTCAAATGTGCAGTTCAGTTTATCTCTCAAACCGAAATAAAGTGGATCTTCACTCTACCGACAGGTAATGTTTTCTTCACATTTCGTGAGTCTACAGTTCTGCTGACAGCTGACATGTAAAAAAAATATAAATAAATATAAACAGTTGGTGCTGAAAAATTAATTAGTGGAGAAATTAAACATACAATTTGTTTTAACACACCAAATGTTTATATTTGGTTTCAGCACAGCATATTAGACTTTGTTATATTTTTCACTTTTTTTTTTTCCAATTAATCTTGTGCCTTTTATTTAGTTAAAATCAGTTGTGTTATCAAGAAACAGAAGTTTCTTGACCTGCTGGAGCGGGGGGGCTAGGAGGAGGAGTTGGCCGTCCGACTGCGGTCTGGAGTGTGGGGCCTCCCTGCTGCTCGGAGTCGGGGCGGTCTGCCTCCCCCACCGCAGGGAAAAGGGTAACACCACCTGGGTCTGGGTGCAGTTCCCCCTCCAGGGGCAAGGGTACCTAGACCCGGTTTGTAGAGTACGCTTGGGGAGTGTGATCGTGTGTACAGCGTCTCTTTATGTCTGTCTCCACGTTGGTTGAGTGTGGAGTAAGTGTATATGAGAGCATGAGGGTGGGAATGGATGTTTGTATCTGTGTGTGCCTGTATGTCTGTGTCTATATGTCAGGTTGGGTGTCAGACGCCACCTCTCTGGGGACATCTCAGGCCCTCCAAGGTTTGGAGGCCTATCTCCCCCTACCACCACTTCCCCTGCCAGTGGCGGACTCCCTCAGGTGACTCGGTGCGTTGGTGGTTCTTTGTGTCCGGGGTGGGCGTCCAGGTACACACCGGCTCACTCCTTGGCGGCCGCTTATCGGGGCCTGGAGCCTGGGGCTCGCTCGGGCCACTTCGGAGGTGGGGTGCCCCCGGCCTCTCGGCCTGGGGCTCGGTCACTCAGGCACGGCTGGCTGCCGGCGGAGCTCACGGGCGCGTCACTGCAACTCCCCCTGGCTTCTGCTCCGCGGCTGCTGAGTGAGCCCTCATCTGGGACTCTCCTCAGCTCTTTCTGGGACAGTGGCGCGGCTGCCCCTCTGTTGGTCTTCCTTGGTCTCTTGTGTTCTGGGGGCCTCTGGATGTCTGGAGTTTTGATCTCCTCCATACCTGCTTCATGCCCTGGAGGACGGGGCTGTGGCCCCCCCACACCCTCTAGCAGATCATTACATGAAGGAACCTTTTAAAAAAACAAGCGCGTCCATGCTCACAGGTGTACACACGGGTGATCACACCCACAAACTACACCCTTTTTGGCTCCTACCTCAAAGCACACTGTGTTCTGTTGATCTTATGTGCTGCACAATAATGTTTAACATTTAGTATTTACTGTCATATTCCCATATATCATTGTGATGTTGTTTATTCTATTACTCTTGTTCTCTTCTGCTTGTTTTCTTTTTTCTTTCTCAGCAGGTGACCCAGGTGATTGATATATGCATTTTTTTTTCTCTGCCCGTTCTGTTGGTTTTTGTTTTTTGCCCTTCTCCCCCGTCCCTCTTCTCAGCTGTTTCTCTTTCCCTCTTTCTTTCTCCCCTTCTTTCCCCCAGTCAAGTCTGTCCCGTATTCAGTAAGTGAAAATAAAATAAACAATAAAAGGTGAATCAAATGGACCATTACGGCAAGGCTGGGATGGTCAATTTGGTAAAGTAAATCCGTTGGGCATCTTTCTTTGCCTTTAGACAACAATTCTGATGGCAAAAGAGCCAAACGGGACAGGCAAAAAAAAAGAAAGAAAAAAAAAAGAAACAGAAGTTACAAACTGGAAGTGATATTACAGCCAGTCATTGTGAAGAATACAGTGGCAACATTTTCAGTCCTCTCAGTACTTCATCTTCTGTTAAAACTGTGTTAAACGTGCTATTTATGAGGGATTGAAGTATACAATATTTTGAAACATTCAAACATACAGTAGTTTTTTTTCAGGTTAATTTGATTGATAAGGATAAGGATAAGCTTTATTTGATATGCATGGATTAGTAAACAAACACCAGCTGACTGTTCATTTTAGCACGATAGCTAAGGACTAATTACTGATTAGCTTACAAACACCTTTAGCTTAACAAAAAAGGGTGATGATGCCACACGTCTTTCTGACAGTTAGTGCAGTTTACTGCAGAACACCTCAGGCTGTCAGTGTAGAGCAGACAGTCTCTGTCAAAGATGAAGGACTTACAGGCAAACTAAACAGGAAGTACGAGAAACACGCACACTGAGACACATAACAGAGCGAGGGACGAGAGACAGAGGGTGAGAGACGCACACAGAGTCACAACTGGTAAAACAGACAACTAGGCAAACAAACATGAAGACAAGACTGACTAAACTGGGAAACAGTTTATACATACGTCTCATCCTTTGTATTTCTATGTATGGAAATACAAAGGATGAAACTAAAAAGCACAAGAAAACTAAACAATACCAAATAAAGACTAAGAAACGTGGAACATTATAACGATAAACAAGGTCCAAAAAGTCCAATAACCCAAACACTGGGTGGTACCCTAACATTTGACTCTGTTGGAAAGTAAATACTGGACCACCTCTCAAAATTCGGGCTTTATCTGCAGTTTCCAAGCAGAGATGCGCAGGTTTCTTAGTGATTGCAAAGCAACTTGGTGAAGCAACTTTTGATTTAGTTTGACAGTTTGACCCCAGTGTTATCTGCTAACATGGAAGACATGGGGTTTATGATTAATACTGCAGTCAGGCACCAGGGGGCAATAGAGATGCTTTGGATTCATTTTGGGGGAGCTGTCAGGTTGTACATGTTTTCTACAGTCACTGCTATTTGATCACTTATGTAGATCTGGCTTTTGTTTGTAAAACAGATAACATTACTGCTGGCCCTGCTATTGAGAATAATTTCAAATACTGAAAATCACCCAGTAGGATGGAAGACACACCTTTGTCACTTTTTAATATGCTTTTTTTGTTTGTTTGTTTGTTTGTTTGTTTGTTTGTTTGTTTGTTTGTTTGTTTGTTTGTTTGTTTGTTTGTTTGTTTGTTTTTAACCAACTAGTGGCTGAGAAAACAAGCTGAAACCCGACGAAAAGTGAATGTGGATGTTGGTGAGCTAAAAGACCTGAAGGAAGAGGAGAGGAACCCTTACTGGTTAAAGGACAAAGGAGAGTGAGTGAAGTGTGTCAGCAAACAGAGTTTAGTTTAAAAAAACATTTAAATTATTTTTTTATAATTTTTAGTAACTTTCAAGATTTTCTTTCCAATTTCAGTTCAGTTTAGTTTCCAGGGTGGATGTCCTTTTTTAGTCTGGTTATTATTAGTTTAGTGTTAGTTTGGGTTTTTTGATTTTGTTTTTTATTGATTGAAATATTTTCTAGGGGCAGAGTTTAACAAGCTCCAAAACATTTTTTAACAGTTTGACTGTTAACTAACTGTTTTCCTTACCTGAGGTTTACTTTTTGTTATTTTTCTAAGTACAAAATATTGTTATTTTTGGGGTAACTGAAATGTTTTGTTTTTTCGTGCATAATTTCACTGTTTAATTAATTGTATTTTTCTTGTTATCAGCTCTGTTTAACAGAACTTTATTTTTTAGCAAATGTTTTGCCACTGGGGACTTCCTGGGAGCAGTGAATGCCTATAGCTTGGCTATCAGGGTTATGGGGAAGATCCCTGCTTTGCATTCGAACAGGGCCGCATGCCATCTGAAGTTAAGAAATTTTCACAAGGCCATTGAAGACTCCTCTCAGGTATTTTTTCTTTTATAGCTTTTTTAATTTTTACTTTTACCTTTTTTAGTCTTTTTTGTGATAGACAGGCAGAAAGCTGGGAGTTGCATTAAATGGCCTCAGAGCAGATTTGAACTAGGATCACTGCATTATATCCTGTATTGCGAACAGTATTCGCTCATCAACCAATGTATATGAACTTACGTTTTAACATCCCAGTCTTAATCCATAGGGTTTGATATGATGATAAGGTCCCTTTGCTGATATAACAGCTTTAACTCTTCTGGGAAGGCTTTCCACAATGTTTAGGAGTGTGTTTATAGAAATTTTTGACCATTATTTCAAAAGTGCATTTATGAGTTCAGACATTAATTGGGAGTCAGCACAAGGATAAGTAGACCTGGGAAGAATTAGTCTCTGCACTAATTAATTACAAGGGTGTTCTGTACGTTGAGATCTGGACTCGCTGCAGGCCTATAAAGTTCTTCCACACCAAACACCTTCATCCATGTCTTTAAGGACCTTGGTTTGTGTGCTGGTGTGCAGTTACAGTGGGGCAAAAAAGTATTTAGTCAGCCACCGATTGTGCAAGTTCCCCCACTTAAAATGATGACAGAGG